GAGGTGCCCAGTGCTGTGAGAGCTTAAAACAGGAGACCTGTCTTGTTCTGGAGGAGAGCATCATGGAAGCCTTCTCAGAAGTGATGTTTGAACTGAGATCTTCCAGAGGACGTTGAGCCATTTGAGGGAAGAGCTTGGGAAAGAACATTCCAGGAAAAGGGAACAGCGAGTTCAAAAGCCCTGAGGCAGGAAAGAAATTATGTACTTTTGCTCGTAGATTTTTGTTGTAATTGTCAGGAAATCTGCGCTTGATGTGGAGATTTGGGGGGACCCTGCAAAACAAAATCTGCACTGTGCATAATAATCTGTATCTGAGAAAATTACTGGACTTCAAGATTTATTTAGATATGAAACCATCAGGAACCGTGGCTTATTTATTCAACAAACGTTTCTCAGTGGGATCCTGGGGGAGGGTGTTGAAGGAGGGAGGCACAGAAGTACACGGAGTTGATCAGGCAAAGCTTTGGAGGAGTTGGGACATTTTTTCTAAGAGCAATCAATAGGAAGCCACCGGAAGATTATGAAGAAGGGGAGTGACAGCGATAGGATTTCTGTTTGAAAAGTGGAGGGAACGCTCTAGGGAGAATGGATTGGTGAGGAGCAGAGTGGACACAGGGAGAACAGGTAGGAGGCCACGGCAGCGGCCCAGCAAGCAATGACGGTGCTGTGGAATCAGATGGTGGTGATGGGGAGAAGGGACACAGCTTCTTGGGTTCCATTCAGCTGCATGGATGCTAGCTGGGTGCTCCCCTAGCCCCTCCTCTGCCTGGCCCAGGACCCAGCCCCTGGGTTTGCTCTCCACCCCCCTCCCAAGAAGGGCAGTGAGAGTTGCTCAGGCCCCTGGGCTTATGTGCCTTCTGGTTCCTCAGTGGGCCCTGCTTCCCGCGGCCCAAGCCGTTCAGCTTGGCTCCCAAGGAGGTCTTTTTCTCCAGTGAGTGGGTCTGAAGAATGACCGAGCCGTCACTCACCTGCTCCTGTCCGCGTACTGAGGAGGGCGCTTGGCAGGGGGTTGCTCTGGTGTGTTCACTGCAGCCCCGAACCCGGAGGACAGCTAGGGAATTGCTGCTGCTGGGGCCCCCTGCCCTCTCCTCGCCCCAAAACAAACGAAGGGAAAGCTTGAACTTTCTTCTTTCACGAGGAGACACATTTCTGTATTTGTGACTGGGAGAGAATATGTCTTAAAGCTGCCTTTTCTGGTGACAACAGGAATACAATCCTATCGGAGAAAATTGGAAAGTACGAGTAAATAGAAGGAAGACTAACCAGTATTCATACCACTACTCTGCATTTTTGTATATTCCCCCAGTCATATATACTTATTTTTCAATAGGTCATACATAGTGAATATACTTGTGCGTCTTGCTCTTTTCACTTTGTGTTTTAAGCATTTCCCTGTGTCATTAAAACCTCTCCACACACAGTTTTTAATATCTGCAAAGTAGTCTTTGTTTTTGAAAACATATTTTACATAACCTTTTGCTATCTGTTGAAGAGTTGGCTTGTGTGTAACTTTTACCATTGCAAGGAGGTCTGTGATGAATGTCTTTGTTTATAAATCTTTACCTGCATTTTGGATGCCCTCTCCCCCTATAGATTTCTAGGAGGGAGATTAATGAGGGGAGTTGTATAGACAAGCCAGGAAAGAAAATCTCTGTGTAGGATAATTCCCATCAAAAGGTAACTCTGCTCCTATCAGGGAATGTAAAGGATGGGCTGTGCTTTTCCCTCTGTAAGGACCCCGTGCTCCCCACGTCACTTGTCCATTCGCCAAGCAGTGGCCACTAGGTGTCTGTGTGTCAGGAATTACCTCTTTTCTCTAGAGACCCCGCTGGATTAAGGGCTTGAGCGGCAGCTGGGGCTGGGATTTCATCGGTTTCTCTCCATCTTGTGGCAGAGCGGAGAGCCCTCCAGGCCTGGGAGTCTGGCTCCGCTATGCAGCCAGAGAACCAGCTAAGCAACCTTGAGCGCTGTCATTTCCCCTGTAGGGGCCAGTTTTCTCATATGTAAAACAAGCCGAAAAAGGCAGGAGTTGGGGATTGACCGGATTTTGTTATTGTTGCCATTTAAGCAGCAGAACCCTTATTTCAAATTAAATTTTACCAGAACCCTCATCTATAAAACAGATTAAGGGCCAACTGTCCCAGTAGAAGCAGGGGAGGAGTGGGAGGGGGGAGGGGATGCTCTAGTCGGAAAACTCTGGCCTAGAGGATGGAAGTTTCACTCCAGTTCAGTTCAGTTCTCTTCCCTGTTGCTGAAGTTAAAAAACAATTATCTTTCATCTATATTTCAATCCTCCAAATGTGCTGATTGATGAAATCCTTTCTCTTAAAGGCAATTTGGAAATCAGACAAAGTAGAGCACAAAGCCGTGGATGTTTAGAGAGGGAGTGAGCAGTGTGTGAGACCGGCTGAAAGGGTGACCCTGGCACTTCTAAGAAGGCAGAGCACAATGGACTCTTGGAAAGAAGCAGTGTCAGTTTATTCCCGCGTTGGCACCGCCCCCTCAGTGGGGCGGAATTGCTTGTTTTCACCCTCCCTTCCCTGGAGTCTTTGAGACCAAACTTGTGTCCACAATTGCTAGCAATCTGAACCCAGAGTCACCTACGGACAGGTATTTTATGAAGGCCCAAACACTGTGAAAGATATGAATAGGGGCGTGGATATGACAAGAGACTTTCCTCCCGCCCCTGGGACGTGGAGCACGGGGGAGGGGGGACCTGGCAGCCTGTGACTTTGCTCCGATCACTGCAGCAAGGCTGCGGCACCGACCGGCTCGAAGGGGCCCGAGGTCCGTGGCCCTGGGACGGGGAGAGGAGGGAGTGGTACCGAGGCCTCGCCACGCTGGACGCAGCAGGCCCGGGGGGAGCGCCGGCTGTAGGGCGACGTGCCCGGGCCTGTAAATCACCGCCGGGAGCCCTCCCACCCCGTGCGGTACAGTCGGGGATGGGGTGCGGCGGGTGGAGGGATGCAGTGCCCGCGTCTGCAGGGGAGGGGTGTTGCTGCCTTCCCTGGGAGACCCGACCTTTCTCGGAGAGGCGTGGTGAGCTTGGCCTCCGGGATCCGCAGGGATGTGTAAAAAGCGGCTACGACCCCCGAAGCCGCAGAAAGCCCCCGCCCCTCCCCCCGAGGCCCACCCCGGCTCGCAGGTGAATGGCTGGCCCGCACAAAGGAAGCCGGCTGGAAATGTGGAATTCGGACCAATTTACGGGAGATTCTGTCGCCCAGAGTCCAGCAGACCTCAAGCAAAGAAACCTGTGGTCAGGAGTGGATGAGGATAAAAAACAGTACACCAGGCCGAGCTTATTGGAAAGCCCGAGTTTAGTTATTCTGGGATAGCGAGGTAACAGGATTAGAGGGATTAAGGAAATCACCTCAAACAGCTGAAGAGGGGGTAAAAAAACACTGGTTCTATTTGTTTTCTTCCTAGGCCCCAGATACACTGGGGCCGTGTGGCCAGGCGCGAAACGAAAGGCCTTTCGGGGGGCACAGTGGAATGCCCAAGGGTCAGGGACGGAGGGAGAGTAGGGGGAGGGAGGGAGTCGAAAGCGGGCTCGAGGCTTGGGATGAGAGGGAGTCTCTTCTAGAAAACAAATCAGTGGACTGGGCTGACAAGTCAAAAAGAGAAAGCCATCGAAGGAGTTTGAGAGACCTTTTAAAATCTAAGGTGGACTTTTAAAAACCACGCCTTCCAGCGTTGAATGCTGGCTCCGGCCGCTTCACCCACCACGATTGAAATATATATTCGTTTCCTGCCAGGGATTCCTGTAATTATTTATGTTTAATAGGCTAACTGATATTTCCGAAGGGTTTTCGTTTTATAAATCGTTCAGCTTGGCTCGAGTGTCTTCCCGCCCCAGTGCACAAAGGTAAATGTGCCCCTTTGGAGGCCGGTTTCCGCGGCCGCGGCGGCCCCTCCCCGCCCCGCGTGGCCGCCGCCGCGATCAACAAGTGCGTGGCCGCGGGGTGCCTGCCTCAGCCGGCGTGTGCTCGCTCCTAGGAGACGCTCCCAGGAAGACAAATCGCTTTCTCCTCGGAGTTTCAGTTGAAAATATCGGGAGCCTCTCTCTGTGTTTGGGCTCACCGGTAGTTAAAAAGGAACCATTTCAGGTCACACAAGCCTCTCCCCAGCCTCCCACCCCTGGCCCCGGCATGGGACCACGGTCGTAATACCGAGTGATGGTCCCCTCCCTAAGCCGCATCTAAAGTTTCAGGCCCGCAAAATTACCAGGACTCCATTATGTTGGTTATAAAATTTATTGATCTCTCATTTAGGAATTCGGAGTAAAACCTTGAAAAACCTGAAACAAAATAGACCCTTATCCCCACCACCCAAGCGAAATCCAAATACGTTAGCGCGACGAAATATCAAACAGATCACGGCAGAAATCACCAACTCAGTAGCCTAAATGCTGACTGGACAGAAGCTGTCCCGCGGCCAGGGGCGGCGAGGCGGGAGACACACGCACACCTGGCTATAAATTAACATCTGCTTTGGCTGCCGCGCCGCTCCAAGCGGTCAGCGCCCCGCCCCCCACCCCCCGCAAAGCCCACGAGGAAAACAGATGCAACGCTACTGGGGGAGGAGGCGTTGCAGTTCTCAGGCTAGCCTCACCCGAGAGTATGTTTCTCCCATCCACTCACTCCTCGGCTAACAGCAAACTAACGAAACAACATTTTCAAATGCAACAGAAAAACCCAGGAACCCAGGAGGAGGGGGGGGGGTGCTGCTTTTTCTTTGCAAACAACACAGCGATTCCCAGCCTACAAAAGGGGAGGGAGGGCAGCGGAGAGGGGCAGGCGAGCTCGAGAAAGTCCCATTTCCGCCGCTCCGGACTCCTTTTTGCTTTTGTACAAAACCCGACAGCTATAGCAAAACTTTCTGTCCTCCCCATCATCGGTACAAGGCAACAGTCCCAGGCAAGCAAAGCTAAACAACAAGGCGTCCCAACTCGGGGGTGCGGGGCGGGGTGGGGCGGAGGAGCGGCGAGCGCAGGCCGGTGCTCAGATGTGGGTCAGCGGCACCGTTCCGTTGACGGCAGTCCCGGCGCCCTGGTAGTGCTGGTGCACGCTGTGCAGGCGGCCGCCCGGCAGCGGCGAGGCGGCGTCAGCCGCGTCCCCGCCGGGCGGCAGGTACATGCTGATCATGTCGCGCAGGTCGCCGAGGCACGCGCGCTGCGAGTGCGACGCGATGGCGGGCGGCGGCGAGCTGGGCTCGGTCTTCACCACCGTGCCCATGGGGCCCAGGCTCATGGCGGCGGCGGCCGCGGCGGCGGCGGCCGTGGCTGGCTGCTGCCCGTAGGCGGCGGCGGCGGCGGCGGCGGCGGAGGGCGCCATGCCCCCGTAGCCCGAGGCGGCAGCCGCGGCGGCGGCGGCGTTCATGTAGCTCTGGGCGCCGGGCGGCATCATGGGGCTGTACTGCAGGCCGGCCATGTCGTAGCGGTGCATCTGCGGCAGCGCGGGCGGCGGCGGCGGGCTGCTCATGGTTGCGGGCTGCGCGTAGCCCAGCTGCTCCTGCACCAGCGAGTACGCGCCGTTGGCCCAGCCGTTCACGTGTGTGTACGTGTCCAGGCGCTGGCCCACGCCCACCGGGCTGCTAGCGGCGGCGGCGGCGGCCGCGGCGGCGGCCGCGGCCGCGGCTCCGGGGGGCAGCAGGCCGCCGGGCAGGGAGTACTTGTCCTTCTTGAGCAGCGTCTTGGTCTTGCGGCGCGGCCGGTACTTGTAGTCCGGGTATTCTTTCATGTGGACGGCGCGCAGCCGCTTGGCCTCGTCGATGAACGGCCGCTTCTCGGCATCGGTCAGCAGTTTCCAGTCGGCGCCCAAGCGCTTGCTGATCTCAGAGTTGTGCATCTTGGGGTTCTCCAGAGCCATCTTGCGCCGCTGCCCGCGGGACCACACCATGAAGGCGTTCATGGGCCGCTTCACCCGGTCCTGGTCACTGCCCCCGCCGCCGCCGCCGCCGCCGCCGCTCGCGCCACCGCCGCTGCCGCCGCCTGCGTTCGCGCCGCCGCCTGCGTTCGCGGTACTCTTGCCTGCACCGCCCGGGGCTGCGGGGCCGCCCGCGCCTGCAGCTGGGGTGGGTGGCCCCGCGGGGTTCTTGAGTTCAGTCTCCAGCAGGCTGTACATGGCCTGGGCGGGAAGAAGGTGCGCCAGGGTGGCGGGAGGAGAAGGCGCTCCCGGGGCTGGAGCGGCCACGGTGAAAAGGCCTGGGGACTCCGTCGGAGGGGCGCTTGGGGGCCTGGGGGCCGCTGGGCCAGTGGGTCGGGCAGTCTTGCCGAAGTGCTCAGCGCCAAATCAGCGAGAACCTGCAGGCTACTCGCACCTGATGCGTTGTCTCGGGCTGGTCGCATTCGCAGTCTGGCCGGGCGCTCTCCGGGCCTCTTATATACCTGCTCGGATCCCCCGGGGTTGGGGCTCGGTCCGCCCCTCGCTCTGGGAGGCCCGGTGATTGACAGGCTCGCAGTGGTGCGCCCTGGCCAATCATCACGGAGCCGCCGTTCGGCCCCGCTGGAAAAAAAAAGTTCGGGGAGTCCTTTCGTTCACCCCCACGCCCCTCTTGGGCCCGGTGACGTGATGAGAGTTATTCAGGAGGCGGGAGTCCCGGGGAGCCGCTCAGAGACCACCAATTAGGGTCTCAAAAAGTTTGAAAGAACGAAACTCGAGGAGGTGACGGAGGGGGGAGGGGGCGCGCGAGCAGGTTTGGGGGGGGGCAGGGGGCGCCCACGGGGTTCAGAAAACAACTTTGCAGCCCTGTCAGTGACGAGAGGCGTCCGGTCCCGGGTCCACCCTGCAAAGCTTCCCGCTGTCTGCGCGGAGGTCCTCTGACCGCTTCTGCTGCCAGCGTTAGGGACACTAGGCATAGCCAGCTACCCAGGCGGGCTTGGGGACTCAGGGCGCAGCGGAGGTACCCCGGGCTGCGGCTCCGAGAAGCCCTCCCAGGAATCGGCCCCTGTCCAGATGGACCCTCCGCTGGGAAGCCTCGGGCCAGCGCGCCCAGTACAGAGCGGGGGTCAGGGACCCGGGCTCGGGAGACAGGCTTCGGGACCGCGGAGCGCACGGGGGCGGCGAGGCTCCCGGTGGTTTGCGGGAGGGCGAGCAGTCAGACGCCCGCTGCCCCGGCCGGGCGGAGGCGCTCCCCTGCGGTGGTGCGACGAGGCGTGTGTGGGGGGCGGAGGGGGTGAACCGGCTTCGGCTCTCTTCTCCGGGCCCCCGCTTAGCGGCCCCTTTTTGTCTCTGCTCTCTGGCCATTTCGGTTTTTCCAGTCCGATGCCCCTGAGGGGGAGGGTCGGGCCCCTTGGAAAATCCGTTTTCATGGCAACACAGAGCCTCTCCAAGTGAAAGAAAAGTTTCTTGGAGGGGGGGGACGGTGGCCAGAGAGGAGCCGAGGCCGTCCTCCGGGCGAACCGCAGGGCCCCCTCCACTGGCCGCGCACCTGCCAGGACCACTGAGCGCTGCTCTCGCTGCGCAGCCGCGCGGCCTCCCCGGGGAAAAGGCTCTGCTAACGGATTCCGTCCTTCTCCTTTTTTGTTTTACAGCCTTACTGACCAGAGCCTCGAGACGCGAGACTCAGAGCGCGACATCACCCGCCTGTCGGGTTGTCTGCCAGACTAGCGGCGCGGGAACGCGGGCTGCGGGGAGAGGGAACCCCGACTGCCGCCGCCGCCAGCCCAGGCGAGTGGCACAGCGTTTGAAACTCCCGGAGCCTCCGGGGGCGACGGGTGGGAAGGAGAAGCCAGGGGGTAGAGGTGGCAGAGACTGAAATAAGGTGTTCGCACGGTGTGGCCCACCAAACCCCTAGCCTCGTGGAAAGGTGGGGAACCAAAAGAAAGGCGTAAATCCTAAGTGTGAAAGAAAAACCAAACCTAGGTTTTTAGCCCCTTAGTGCTAATGCAAGACCCGGCGATCCTGGGAAGCCTGCACGCCAGGAATGTCCCCCTTTCTTGCACAAATTTTAAAGTAAGCCGTTGTGGCTTGGGGGACGCGGAGAAGGCCAGCCCGCCCTGGGGCCGGCGGACCGCTGGCACCAGAATCCAGGCTCCCAGCAGCAGCGCCTCCTGGAAGTCTGGGGTCTCGAAACACGCCCCTAAAGTTTGGATTCCGCCTGGTCTACGTTCTCTTGCTCATCTGGACCGGGGGCGGGGGAAGCAAACGTATACGGTCAAGGGCTGTGATCATTTGAAATGGGTGTACGGATTTAGGGTTTTAAAGTAAACTATCTGGGATGGTTATGTGTATGAGTCGTGTGTGTGTGTGTGTGTGTGTGTGTGTGTGTGTCTGCACGCGGGCACGGGTATGTATACTTCAGCTTACACGGACTGGAAGGCAAGTCTCAGAAAACGGAATGATTCGCCAATCCCCACCTGCACCTGTTTTCTTGCCAAACTGGCTGACACAGTCAAAATTTCCTAGGCAAACCCACCTTCTCCCAAAGAAGTCAATGTGCAGTAGCCCTGCCCTCCTGCCGCCTTCTCCAGATGCCCTCTCGGGTTCTCTGGGCCTCTGAGGCTGTTGCTAAGTGAAGCGCGTTTTAGGAAACTACCCAACCGACGCGCGGCCTGGCGTCCAGTAGCCTGACAGATGTCAGGATTCTTTCCAAGTTTTAGGACCCAAGTAAGCCGTTGTGGTGACAGCGCCTGGGCTGCGTATTTCCCTAGGCAAGGGATGCAGTGCGGGGCCTGCGCTCCTCGCGGCAGCAGATTATCCGGGGAACTAGTCACTGCTCCCAGCTGTTTGTCACTTGATCACACCTACCCCGCGGTTTAGGTAAGCTCATTTTCACATCACCTCCTTCTGCCAGATTTACGGCAGTCTTGCAAGGATCAGACACCCTCTCCCACACTCCTGGCTTCCCTTGGAGGCCGTGATTAAACCGCTCTCAGTGCCCGTTAGCTCGGGTGGTCTGCACAACCCCAAGTAAGAGTCACACCGAATTATCTTCGAAACATTTCCGAGGAAACGTTCTCAGCCCAAAGTACCATTTCAATAATCAAGCGAGGTTACCATTATGGGCGTGGGGAACTGGGGGCAAGGCTGGAAGGAAACCCGTTCTCTTAGCACACTAGCAGTACCGGCACAGTCAACAGCCGAGAGGCGCGACCTTCGCTGGGGGTCGGGAGAAGTGTCGCGGCAGGTACTATGGCCCGAGGGTCTTCCGGGGCCTGCGGGGAGGCAAGACTGCCAGCGGAGCCCGAACCGGTGTTTCCGACACGCACCCTGCACCCAGTGAGGAAAGCAGAGGGACACAGTGGGGTTCAGGACCAGTCCTTTCCACCCTCTGCGGGAGAAGAGAGCGTGTTGAGCAGCTCTCTCGCCCTTGGGGCCTCCGAGAGCCCATGGGCGGCATACAGAGCCCCGGACGGCGGGCTGGGAACCCGGCCAAGCACCCCCTCCCCCTTCTCCCCGCCCTCCCAAGAGATCTCCGGCTTCCTCGGACTGGGGCTGGGCCTGGGGCTTCCAGGACCCAGGGCGCGGCAACAGCGCCGTTTGTTGGCTTCGGTTGGAAACTTCACCCAGAGGCGCCCCTTCCCTCCCTGCGGGGCTTCGAGGTCGCCCCAACCCTCCAAGGAGAGGCAGCAGGCTTCGCTGCGGGGCAGAAGTGGGGCTCGCTTTAGAGGGCCGATTATTGCTAAACTCGGGGGACCCAGGCTCTAGCGTGGGTGGCCCGGCCGCCGCCGGGCTCCTAGGGCGCTTCCACTATGCCTTCCTCCGGTCTCGAGCCTTGGCAGGAAGCCGGTGTCCCAAGAGCCTCATAGCTGCAAAGTAAACTTTTAACAATTGTGCCTTGGAGCTACTGGTAGAGAGCCGAGCAGAGGGGGGGCTGTCCCAGTACTCGCGCTGGGGTGCCCGCGTGGATCCCTGCTCAGCAACTGCTCAAGGGGGTCCTTTTTCTGAGTCTGCGGCTCGATTAGGACCCCCGCCTCTTAGAAGAGGCGCCCTTTGCGTGCGGGGTGGGATGGGATAGGTGTGTATCAGTGTCCGCTCCGGGGGTCGAGGCCTGACAATAGAGTCGAGTGTTCGCTTTTTTCAAGTGCAGCCGAGCCCAGCGAGGGGTCTGGCTTTGAGGAAGTGCGAAGAACTTATCCTGGCGACCCTCAGAAACGCTTTGCTTTTCAGCAGGAAAAAAAAGTTTGCTTATCTAGAGACAGCTTTTCCTATTTCTTCCTTGAGAACAGCCCTTGACTATTTACTCTGGCTCCTGGCCAAGAGGGTGTATTTAGGCCACACATTGAGGGCCTTGATCAAGAAATCAGAGGCTTGGGTCTATTGTAAAATCATCTCCTGAAAAAGGTCGGAAAGGTCACCGGCAGTCCAGCGGGGGTGGAAGAAGCAGCACAGAACCTCGAGCTCTAGCTCTCGGTTTGATCTTCCTCCCCCAATCCACCCCAGCCCCTCGCAGCTCCCAATGAAACACTCGTTCTTGCAGGTCTGGGAAGGAGCTGAAGAAGCTCCCTAGGTTGGCGGTGCATTTTGCAAAAAGGAACATAGTTAATATTCTCCAAAGAAATATTACAAGGAGCTTCAGAAGTGCGTGGTGCCAGGACCCTCGAGGTATCAAAAAGTCTCCGGTGGGCGGTACAATATGTTCTGTTGCACTTTGGTGTAGCCCTTTTTAGGAGGGAGGGTGTGCTTTTACAAGAGTTTCGAATTCGATTCCCTTGGTTAGCTGAGCTGTACTTGGTAGATACTGGGAATCCCCTTGGCTCACACCAGGCGAGTCCTTTCACCCGCAGGGTATGACGATACGAATGCCAGCTCTCTTTGCCCTAGGTGCGGAGCGACTACGAGGAATTTGACAATCTTTGCCTTCAGTGCCCTCTCGCTGACCTCACAACCCGAACACTGCCAAACAACCCGAATACCGCCACCTCCCCGAAGGAAGGAAGGCTCTGCCCGGGAACTGGGTCCCACTTCTAGAGCGTCTTCCGGGTCACTGCCGTCGACCTCTTCGCCTCTCCCCGCCCCCCCCAAGCCCACAGCTCTCCGCACTCGCTCAGCCCTCCAAGCTGCTGCACCCGCCCCCCTGCGGAGCAGCCTCCCGGCACCCGGCACCCAAAAGCCAGGCCTGCCCTCCCGCTGGGACTGTCGCCTTTCCCACTTCCTTCAGTGGCTGCAAAGGCACGGCCTTCTACGGCGGCGAGGTGGCCTGCCAGAGGCCCGGCCAGGGAAAACAATCTAAAAATCGTTATCAGTGCATAACGCTGCTTGAGTTATTCCAAGTCCCCGCAGTTCCACACGCTTATTCAGACCGGGGGGCCCGGGTCCATTGGGCCGGCAGTGCTTCCCGGGGAAGGGTGCCTGTAATGTAGCTGGACCTTCAGGCACCTCCAGTGTGACCGGGCAAGCCCATCGG